CCCCAAAACCCCAAAACCCCAAAACCCCAAAACCCCAGCAATCTAAACAAATGCTTGTAGTTTAACTGAAAGTTTTATAAGATATAAATATTTGCTATCTTGCTCTAGACTGTAAAATTATATGGATATTAACTAAATAAAATCAAAAATTGTCGTTATTAAATTCTTCATCTTCATCATTGATAGATGCAAGTTGATTATCTTGATTATTAACATTTGCTTAGAAACTTTCATACTCTTTGATCTCTTCTTAAAGACTATTATATTGCTGCAGCATTTCATTCATATCCATTTCGAACCTTATGCTTTCTTCATCTATTTGTGATTCAAGCTGGTATATACCCATGTTAAGGTTCTCGTTCTCTTTGTGCAAGAAATCAAAATACTAATGCACAATGTCTTTATTGTTGGAGTTCTCAGTTTTGAAACTACTTTCACATTCATTTTACTACTCCTATATCACCTAGTAATTTGGGTTGGAAATTATCCCGTTTGGACCAATCATTGGACTGAAGGTGAATCTTCTCCCTTGCATAAAGTTGCTTGCATTGGTGTCAGAAGTCAACCGAGATTAGAGGTTTGACGGTGAGCCTCTAGTTAAATCCGTGGTAGATCTGCCACTTTAGTGCGCTGAGCCAAAGTTCGAAGTGCCTGTCGAAATCATCATGTTATTTTGGTTTTGATGAGGGAAGCTTACTCTGTCTTCTCTGAAATTGTTTGGGTCTTACATATGCTGTAGATTACCCTAACTATCACTTTGTTTGAATATCTATTGTTACTAGTTCTAAAGCATGTACATTTCCAAAGGCCTCTTCAAACTTTTATCAGTTCTTGTGAGTTCCATATTTGAAAGGGAACTCTCAATCTCTTATTCTACTATTACACTCGGCCTTTAGTTGATTTAATGCTATTGATATTGCTGATAATTTGATCCATTTGAATTGTACTGAGAGTCTATGTAGGCTTACCTGGTTTAAAAACAATTAGAGCAGCTAACCTTTATGATTGCTTCGAATTAGCATTATAAGTCTTCGTTAAATGAAAGTGCATTACCATACTCCTCTTCCATTACCTACTTTTCCTACTCTATTATCTCAAATTTATCTCTAATATGCTTTTGGTTAGTTATATATTGTGAAGCAAAGTGCCTCACTTCCTAAAATGCCTAGTTTACCTAAGAATTCTAAAGCCTCTCTAAGATTGAAACAAAGTGAATAATTTCTTTGCTGTTCTTATTAGATTTTATAAAATAGAGCTTTTACTGGATTTTCTATTCTATGGAATAGTTTATTTAGGATTGTGTTAAAATTATAGAGTTATTGATGTGCTATAAATCTCTAGTATACAGTGAACCATTATCCCTCTTAATGATCAGTCGCTTCCATTTATTCATAGAAAAAAGTAGTGATTTATGCTATTGTTCTTTGTAAATAGATAAAATGCTCTTAAATTTGTCTTTCATAAGCTTATCCTTAGACTAATTCTCTCTTATATTTTCTTGCCATCGTTTGAAATAAGTCTTCTCAGCTTTTTAACCTAGTAATTTTTCTAGTTTTAGTTTCTTGTTCTTATAAATAATCTTTAGTATCTGGTAGCCACACTTCAAAGATTGATCTATAATTATGAAATAATTGCTAGAGTTAGTTACCATTAAATTTTTGCTTAACCATTGGATTTTCCCATCTTCTTCTGAAGCTTTATTTCCTCATGTTTTATTGGGACTAATTAATCACCTCTCTTTTCAGGATTGAAAACATTTTCCACTCTGAAAAGCAGTTTCCTACATTCTTTATTGTTTGCCTGATTTGTCTATCAATAAATATCTACAAAAGATATAAAAACTGAATCTTACCTTTTAAATTTGCTTTGCTTTCTATGATATATCTAGTCTTGGGATTATAATAGATTTATAAAAAGGACTATTATTACTAACACCAATTGGGTTTTTCAGTTTCTTGGCAGAGTGCTTTCTATTGCTATCACTATCTTCTTTGATCCTCCAAAAAGCAATGTTCTTATGAGCACCCAGATTCTTTTGCATTATACTAACAAGCATTAGCATGCTTCTTTACCTACTTCTTAGTACATAATCATATTGCATTAAAAATCCAGTATTTATTTTCCATGTTTAGAATGCCATCATTAATGATTTAGATGACTGAGGAATTGTCATTGTCTACTTGCGAAACATTAAGAATCTGTTAAGAATCTTTAATGCGCCAAAATTTTGCTTGTAGAAACAAGATTATAAGTCAAATCGGAAGATCATATCTTGACTTAAGAGCTTTGCTTGATAGTTCCATCTTAGAAAGGCTTTCCTCATTCTAAATTGTATCTTCTTAGTAATGAAGAGGAATCTTTAGTTTAAAACCTTTTTCTTTGTCTATCTCATTTGATGAGAGATGCAATCAAGATAGTGATTTAAAAGTTGTTTTTGCCAGAGTCTAAAAGCTCTTACCAACTTCACATCTGTCTTGCATTGCTTTTAAATGACATTTTCAAGCTTCAGAAATGACTTTATCTTCTAAAATTCAGTTGAACTTTTTATCTAATGAAATGGGTATTGAAGTTTGACTGAAGTTATTTGGATTTCCCTAATCTTTAGTTTGAAAGTTTCGATAAACGTCCCAAGTTCTTACTCAATAAAGATTGAGGGATCCAGTACTCTAAAGATTATGATTTAGCTTTATGCCTTATTGAAATTTTAGAAGAATAAGCGACATAAATGCTCTGATTCTAGTTTGACTGACAAGAGAGAAGCATCAGTGTCTGTATAAAATTGCTTTAAATCATCTTAATTGTCTTATCTAATTTTATTGAAAGAAAATCCAATGAATCTATTGTATAGATTTGACACTAATGCAACTGAAAGCTATTTTAAAGCTTTTGCTTTTTAACTTTGATAGGTTTTATTCTAAATTGGAATTATTTAGATGCTTATAATTACACTTTGGCTTTAGTTGTTTACTATTTGATTCCAAAATATCAGAGCTAGTTATTTAATTTGAGACTTATCAGCTACCTAGTATTATTTTTTGAGAATCTATAAAAAACGTTATAGTTATATAGATGTAACTTACTAAAGTCTCTATTTTTTTTGAAAATTCTAGCATTTAATGCTGTTTAGCTGTAATAATTTTCTGATTGCAGGATATTAATCTCCAATAGGTGAATAACTACTTTGAAAACTAAGACTGCAAACAAATCTTCTAATGTCTCATGATTCTCCTGCCTATCACTACTTTCAATAACTGCTATTGTTACATTTCTTTGAGCTTAATTTCTTTTTACAGATTCATGATCTCAGTGAATTCATTGAAGCCATTTTTAGTAAATAAGCTTCTAATAAATATTTTCTGAAATCCCAGGTCTAATTATCGATTATTAAAATTGATAATAGAATTTTCAATAGCCTGCTTAATTTTGAGTTATTTATTTTCAATTGCTATAATATTTTCTTTTTTCTTATGTTTCCTTATTTTAAGGAGTATTTACTTGAGGTAGTTTTAAGATATTCTATTTATTGCAGCTATCAAAAATCTCTGTCTTGCTTTGACTTAGTTAGTTCAACCTCAATATCTATTGAATGCTCCTTAGGTTTGTCTTCTTTAGAATGAATTAAACACTTTTTCTAGTATAAATTTATGCACAGCTCTACTCTATGCTTGTAATTATTTGGAACTTTCCTAGATACTTTGTGTATTTTTGGTGCTTGAACTTATAGCTAAATTAGTCATATGATAAAGATATAGATTACTCTGATAGTCTTTGCTAGATTTATCAGCCTATGTTTATGTGATGATACCAGTCTTTTTTGTTTTCTTATGAGAACTAGATTTATTATCGCCAATTTAAGATAACTCTATCACTCTTACATGCTGATTACTATTTAATACTGGCCCATTACTATTATTTTATGCTCTAATGATTCGCTTATGCTACACTATAAGCTTAAAATGATGATAATTACTTACATTCACTTCGATTTTAAGTAAAACTTAACAAATTACCCTGATTATTATTGATAAGTTGATTATGCTGGCCATTCAGGATTTAATTGCTTTCAATCATACTTTAGGCATGCTAATGTATATATTGGTGCTAATGACTGATTGAGTGATTCTATGAGCTAACTTGCTGCTTCCTTACACTTTTATTGCTAGTAGGCGGCTATATTGCTAAATTATTAGAATTGAGAGCTCCACTCGCAATAATATTTTAAGGTCCATGAGATGATGACAGATTTCCAAACTCTAGCTGCTTCTTTACTTCTTCTCAGATATTTTTATTTGAAGATATCAGTACATGTGACTGCTAATTACTGCTCTGAGCTGAGTCCATGATTGTGCTTGCATTATGCTAATGCGATGTAGAATTTGTGTAGGAGTTTTGAATAAGTCTTGGTTTTTAAATTGAAGAGTTAGACATCATTTAATTATAAATTTTAATACTATTTCACTCCAATCCTCCAATTCATACTCTTGGGGTTTTGGGGTTTTGGGGTTTTGGGG